TCTCTCTTTACCTGCTCCACCCTAAAAAAATATATCAATTCTTGTAGATAATAGTAAAAGATGGTGTTATAAGGTATGATTATATATATACCACTACATGCCTTCATTTTGAACTTGTTAATTTCTTTAGAACAAAGGACGAAGACTTTTAAACACATCTCCTTGACTCGAATCCTGGAGAAATTAAGTTCTTTGCTCATTTTTCAATATTCTTACACTAAATATGCACGCTAATGTTGTCATGCTGCATGCTCATCTGATTACTTTACTAATGGCGTGAGATAATAATGTTTTGATGATTGACTATTTGTATAGAGCAAGAGAAAACCAAAATACTTTTGGGTATCAGCAATGGCACCATTGACGTCGGTCATTCTAGGAAGCCTTCTCGTGTATCTCACTCATGCTGAGAAACATGGAGTGCAAGTGGTGAGCATTTCCCATAAATCATTGATAGTGCTTTCCTTCTTGTTTGTATTTGTTCACTTTCTACGGAACTCTTCAGTGGGCTAAGTATGTTTCAATATGAAGCCTAGGTCTATCCTACATGTGGTTTGGCCTATTGGGTACTTGATTTTTGTCTTTTGGGCCGAATCCAAATAATTGTTCTCTTCCAAGTCATGTCTCCAATCCAATTTAACATAAATTTAATTTAATATCTCAAAAATGCATTTCAACTTATCATGAACAGGTGGATAATACAAAGCAATCATTTTTATAAATATAAATCAGTGTTATAGTTCTACATCTCGTCTTCCACCATCTCGTCCCAACAGTTCAGCCTCCTACGTTTTGCCTGGAGGCTTGGTGGATCCTACCACTCAATCACCTTGGACTTTGATAGCTAGTCCAGAGTGGTCATTGTGGGTCATTTTTTTGAAGTATTTTCTTCAACCTTTAGTTTTTGTTTTCATGTCAAGTGTTCTTATTTGCTGCATGCTGGTGTAATTAATTTTTTCAGATAGGAAACTTGAAGAAGGGGATAAATCCTCTGTCCTTTACGGATCTCGTGTTTGTATCTCCTTATCTTACGACAGCCATTAAAACTGGCATCATCACTGGTGTCATAGCTCTTGCTGTAAGCACCCTTCTCCTTTGTTCTTTTGCTGTTCTTTTTCTTGGATTAATAAGAAAGATAGAAGTTGAACTAAGACCTGCCCCTTTTGCCTTGTAAGAGTAAAATAAGACAAATTCTACCACCTAATTAATATACACATGCACATCAATGTCATGTGCTTAAGCGATTGCCTGTTTTTATTTGGTTACAGGAAGGAATTGCGGTAGGAAGGAGTTTTGCCATGTTCAAGAATTACCATATAGATGGTAACAAAGAGATGATTGCTTTTGGGAGCATGAACATTGTAGGCTCTTGCACCTCTTGCTATCTGACCACAGGTATATAATGACTTACCAGCTCTCATTTCCTAATTGTACTTAATTGAGAACGTAATTCAAACTTAAAATACTAAACTAAAAGTACTCTTGGTGATACAATGAAATTTTCCAGGGCCATTTTCGCGATCGGCCGTGAACTACAATGCAGGATGCAAGACAGCTGTATCAAATATTGTCATGGCATTGGCAGTCATGGTCACATTGTTATTTCTAACGCCATTGTTCCATTACACTCCACTTGTGGTTCTGTCCTCTATAATTATCTCTGCTATGCTCGGTCTCTTAGATTATGAAGCAGCAATCCATCTTTGGACTGTCGACAAGTTCGACTTCATCGTGTGTATCAGCGCTTATGCTGGCGTGGTTTTCGCCAGCGTCGAGATTGGCTTAGTCATTGCGGTATGGACATCTAATTGTGGCCTAAAACCTGCAATCGTAAATGTCTGATCACCATCCTTTGATACCAATTCGTTTGTGCGAATGTAGGTGGCAATTTCCTTGCTTAGACTACTTCTGTTCGTCGCAAGACCAAAAACCTTTATTCTTGGAAACATTCCAAATTCAATGATCTACAGAAATGTTGAACAATATCTAAACACAAGCAGCGTTCCTGGTGTTCTCATTCTCGAGATTGATGCTCCCATCTATTTTGCAAATTCAGGGTACTTAAGAGAAAGGTGTGGTCAAAAGCTTTTAATCTAATAAAAAACTTATCAAACACAATTTTTCTGCTTATCTGCACACCTAGTATTCTTAATATTAACCAATTAAATTTGAAGCTCACAAGTGCTGCTATATACTTCTATATCTATAAGGATTGCGAGGTGGGTTGATAACGAGGAAGACAAGTTAAAATCTTCAGGAGAAACCAGCCTACAGTATGTTATACTAAACATGGGAGGTAAGGGATGATCCTGCAATATTTTCCTTCCGCAAAAAATGATTATAGATAGAAAATCCCTTTACCTTTATTTCTTAATCTGACAGCGGTTGGTAACATTGACACAAGTGGGATAAGCATGCTTGAGGAAGTTAAGAAAGTAATGGACAGAAGGGGGCTTAAGGTACATTTTGATCGAAGTTCTATATCTTGTGCGAAATATTTGAATCATCGTACACCACTAATTTATATGTTCTAATGTTCTTTGCTGCCATGTTTATAGCTTGTCTTGGCCAATCCTGGAGCTGAAGTAATGAAGAAACTCAACAAGTCCAAGTTCATTGAGAAAATAGGGCAAGAATGGATCCATTTGACAGTAGGGGAAGCTGTCGAAGCTTGCGATTTCATGCTTCACACATGCGGTCCAAACCCTTTGAAAGAGGAATCTGAGGCATATAACAAAGTCTAAGCTGTCGATCAGCAAGAGCATTAATTTTTCCATGTAGGTCAACTCTATAAATATGTATGTATCAGTTGTGCGTCCATGTAGGAACTGTTATGCATCACATAAAGCTGCATCAAATCAACTGCTGGAAGTGAAATAGAGGCTGACTTGAATCATTAGTTGAAGTTGGAGGTACTTTTTCTCTTCCGACAAGATCCAGGTTTTACAGTGTGAATCTTTTATACAAGAGATTTCGAATGGAAAACCTTTTTAGAGTAATTCTGGTGAGCGACCGCAGGCATAAGATTTTACTCTGCATCCAACCTTTGCCATCAATGTAGAAATAAGAAAATGAAATGAAAAGTCAGTCCAAGCAAGCTTACAGTGCAAGACGATTATTGAGCAATGTTTAATGACCAATCTCAATGCTAAAAAGAGTGATTAAAATTAAATTTTGAATGAAAGCAATGCTACTTTTATCACATTTTATGCTTGCTAATGCTATCAAAATATGAAACTCCAATATTTCAAGTACAATTTGTGTAGTTCCACAACGAGCGAGTATCCATGTTCTCTCCTTTTTGTCTTCTGTATCCCTTCAAGGGAGATACAGAAATTCAACCAAACACACGTTACAGAGTGTGTTTATTTTTTTAGATAGTTTTTATGGTTATGATTTTAAAAAAATAAGTTTAAAAAATATAGTTAGTTGGGGTTAGTTGAATTTAGATATGTGTATGATAAAAATTATGGTTAAAGTTTATATACATCAAAAAAACATATATAAAATGTTTGGTAGTTGTGTGGTTATGGTTGTAATTGCTTTTCAAAATATTTTTTACTTGAAAATTAATTAAAATAATATATTTTTATTTTTAAAAAATTATTTTTGATATCAGCGCATTAAAATGATTTAAAAATACTAAAAAATATTATTTTAAAAAAATTTAAAAAATATCAAAAAAATTTAAAAGCTTTTTGAAATGCAAAAACAAACAATATTTTATGAAACTCAATTAAAAAAATATATAAAAATTATTTTACAAAAACTGCGTTTCAATCTCAATTTTTTAATGGATCTCATAATATAAATTACAGTTTTTATAGTTACTAAATATCTTACTCTGTTTTTTATATTGCAAATACAAAAGCAGGTGCAAAATAAACATAGCCTATAGCCTATACTTCGATGTTAAAATATTTTTTTATTCTAGCCTGATTTCACAGGTGTAAAATAAATATAGCTTATACTTCGATGCTAAAATATTTTTTTATTCTAGCCTGATTTCAAGAAATCTTTTTATATTATTATAATCATATAAAAGACTAGTTAAAATAAAATTTCAATTTTAAATCCCAATGAATAGAGAATATAAAAAATCAATAACTATAGAAAAAAAAGGAGGAAAATATCTAAAGAAAAATTACAAAACACTATGTAAATTACTATCCAATCCACAATATTCATCAAAGTAAGAGAAACCATGCTTTCCACACTTTTTTTTTAATTGTAATATAATATAATAAACCGCTCATCTCACTATAAAATATCTATTTTTATAACAAAATAAAATGAAATGCATCCAACATCTGATGGAAAAATGATAAAAAAAAATCTCAAAAAACTATTTCTTAATCACAATATAGTTTCTCACATAAGTTTTACATAAATAAAGAATCTTAATTTAGCTTAGTGAATATATTATATATATTTTAAATTTAATTTTTTTTTTATTTAGTGAATATGTTAAAAAATAATATAAAATTATTATTAAAATCTCATATAATAGTTAATTTTTTAGGTTAAAAAATTATTTGATAAATATAATTCAAACTAAATTCTTTTAAAAAAAATTAAATGAGAATTAACCCAAACATACAAAAAGTTTTCACTTGAATATATATATTAAAAAATAATATATATTTATTTTTAAAATTTTATTTAATAATTTAAATTTTTAAATTGATATAGTTTTTTTTAATAAACTTAGCATGTGCTAAATTTTAAAAAAAATAAATGAAAATTGACCCGACAACTCCTGAAATTCGATTAAAATTTAACTTTTAAAAAAACCAAAATTAAGTTAATATAACACTTTTTAAAATTAAAATAATATTATTTTAATTAGCCGGTGTTTACTTATCTTTGTCTAATCGCTGATCTCATATGTAAATCGGGTCCCGCTTAATAACTTTTCACACTGCTGCTCCTACTGTAATTGATTGGAGTATTTTATTTAAAATATATCGACACATTGAGGACCTAATCAAAAAAAAAAAAAAGAAGATTGGCATTTATTCGAGATTCCTCTTGGACCTTTTTTTTAGGGTTTTCCTCAGACTTATTATATGAAAGAACTATAAGGTCTGATCGTGCTAAACGGCACCGTATGAAGTCTAGATATTAAGGAGGGAGCCCTGGTCGCTTTAGTGTCACGGTGCCATCTTCCGACGAACACAGCGGGAGGGGTCAGTCACTCTTTCCGCTTATCTTCCACTTACCATTACCTTCCCATTTCTCGTAGAAACGGACATTATCCCAGAAAATCAGCCGGGACAAGAAGAGCTTATAGGGCATCAGCTGTAGTAAGATTTTATCTAGTGCTACATCAGATGGCTCCGCCAATCAAATCGAAGAAAAGCAAAAAAGTTTCAAAGAAGAAATTGAAAAAGAAGAAACTCAAAAACAAAAACATTACCTCTGCTCCTATCGATCCCTCTGCCATTGATTCCGATTGGTGGGATACTTTCTGGCTCAAAAACTCTTCTTCCCCAGGTTCTCTTGATCCTTGTTTTTTTTTAGATACTGTTTTTTTTTTTTTGGTTTTGTTTTTTTTTTTTGTTTTGGTTTTCTCTTTAGTATTCGTTCAGTCTGGGAATGCTCGTATAATCAATGGAATTTGTTTGCTTTCCACTCCTGTTGCTGGTAATACTATTCTTCATTGCTGTTGTTAAGTATAATAAATTGAGATAATTTAATGAATTTGGGACCTAATTGGATCTTCGATTCTGATGAGAAATTTCTTTATAGGCATCTGCTTATAATCTCCATACTGTATGTCCTTTGTGCTTGTGTGACTATGGCTTCAAAGTGGAAAATTGAACTTCATAAAAAGTTCAGAGCTTTTCAATGCTGAGAATGTAGAATATAGACCGTACTGAATTTACCAAATTTTTTTATAGAAATCTTGGGATTTTGATGTCCAATGTGCTAAAAATGAGAGATTGATTGACCTTGTAGGTATACCGTCTGACGAGGAAGAAGGTTTTAAGTATTTCTTCAGGATTTCAAAGAAGACTTTCGAGTACATCTGTTCTCTTGTAAGAGAAGATCTTATATCGAGGCCACCATCTGGACTCATCAACATCGAGGGAAGGCTTCTTAGTGTTGAGAAACAGGTTGCAATTGCTCTAAGAAGGTTGGCATCTGGTGAGTCTCAGGTCTCAGTTGGGGCTTCCTTTGGGGTTGGTCAGTCTACAGTCTCTCAAGTGACTTGGAGATTCATTGAAGCATTAGAAGAGCGGGCCAAGCACCATCTCAAGTGGCCTGATTCTGATAGAATGCAGGGAATTAAGTGTAAATTCGAAACTTTGTTTGGCTTGCCAAATTGTTGTGGAGCAATTGATGCAACACACATTATCATGACCCTTCCTGCAGTGGAAACCTCGGATGATTGGTGTGACCGAGAGAAAAATTACAGCATGTTCTTGCAGGGTATTGTCGACCATGAAATGAGATTTTTAGATATTGTGACAGGTTGGCCTGGTGGCATGACAGTGCCAAGACTATTGAAGTGCTCAGGATTTTTCAAACTCTGTGAGAATGGAGAACGTTTAAATGGAAATTCAAGGAATTTATTTCAAGGAGCAGAAATCAGAGAATATATTGTTGGTGGGGTAGGCTATCCACTTCTTCCATGGCTCATAACTCCAGAAGTGAGCGAGGGAATCTCAAGTTCCATGTCTGCTTTCAACGCAAGGCATGAGGCTGCAAGGTTGCTTGCAGTGAGGTCGTTCATGCATTTGAAGGGAAGTTGGAGAATCCTCAGCAAGGTCATGTGGAGACCTGATAAGCGGAAACTGCCAAGTATTATCTTGGTATGTTGTTTACTCCACAATATTATAATCGATTGTGGAGATCAGTTGCATCCTGATGTTGCTCTGTCAGGTCATCACGACTCTGGTTATGGAGAACAACGTTGTAAGCAAGCCGATCCCTTGGGAAAAATCACAAGAGAAAAACTTGCGAAACACTTTCAGCATAACAAATAGATATCTGTTTCGAATAGATCTCTTATGAACAGTGCTGTAAGCAAGCAATGAAGTGTCATGTGAATTCACAGTTATTGACGAGGCTAACAAAATTTATGAACTGTGGAATCCGTCTATAAAAAGGGTTTCCAACATGCTCTTGTTCTTCGCTCTCATTTGAAGTGTTACAGACCCGTTCTTAATGACTATTTTGGTACGGATTTGGGCATATAATATTAGCCTTTTCCATATAAAGGATCATTTTAAGGAGTTTTAGTGATACCGTTGAGAATTTTAGCAGATGTGCCAAGGATTCTTTTCATGTCTTGTGAACTCTGGAGCTCGAAGCAATCCTTGTGTAACAGGTGTAAGAACATGTATCAAGGACACTAAATCCTAATCATGTCTTACTTGATAGAATTTACAGTTGAACTATCCCTGCTATCAGACCAATCCTAATCTTAATCCTATACTCGCAGGTGATGGGTTTTGCAGAGCTAATAATATACATCCAGGCTAATAATGTACCTGATAAAATGAGCTGGTTTGTTCCAGTAGTCTGTGTGCAAGTATTTTGCAAGGAAGGCAGGCTAATAAGCACATAAAAAGAAAAGCTAAAGGGCGTGTAAAACATGTGAGTTGCAGTTTATTATGGATTATTACAGTAAATTTCCCATTTTACTATGAAGTGAAAAAACTTTGAGCCTCGAAGCTGGAAGTCCGTTGGTATTTTTCATTTACCCATTAATTATTAAAATATTTTTTTTGGGGGTGAATGCGTCTATTAAATTTTTTTATATATAATAAAAATATGTTTTATTGTGAAATCAACAAAATTTATAAATGTTGATTAAAGCTTTCTTGATTTTTCATAAGTTTCTTAACAGTAAAATTACTTTTTCGGCCTCAAAATGAAAAAAAATTGTTTAGTTGTTGGGCATTGAAATTTATGGTTCTTCCTTGATCCATCTAAAACCATAGCATAATTTTATCCTTAAAAAAAATAAAAAATAAATAGCTTGGAGGGTAATTTGGTTTTTTTACATGGTTATTTTTGTGTAATTAACTATTTATGAGAGATGTTTTGATATTTTTTACATTATTTTAATTATTTATTTAAAAAAATTTTGGTTCATGTTCAAACACACCAATAAATAGATGTTGTTTGCACTGTTTAGATAACTTATATGACACTACCTGATTGTCAAATTTAGTTATCTATTATCTCATTAAATGTACAACTATTTTTTTCTTTTATATAATATGATGTGTGGTGGTTGAATTGTTGCTAATAGTTACCTATTTTTTTCTTTCATATAATATGATGTGTGTAGACGTGTGGTGGTTGAATTGTTGCTAATAGTTATTTGTTTTTTTGTTTTTTACTCTCAAATATATCATTGTCATCTTTGGTGTTTGATTTTAAATTTTAATTCTTATTCTTTTAATATTTAATTTTGTTCTTATTTCTTCATAGAAGTTTTTTATTTTTAATTTAGTCATTCAATTATAATTTCTCGTATATTTGTTTTTCATTTTAGTTCTCATTCTTTTAATTTTTTATTTAATTTTTATTTTTTTTATAGTTTTAGTCCTCATTCTTTTAATTTCTTATTTCATTATTATTTCTTTTATAGATGTTTTGTTTTCAATTTAGTCCTTCAATTTTAATTTGTGTATATGATGTTTTTTTAACGGTCTTTCTACTTTTGATTTCTTTTTTTTTTCTTTGTCATTATGACAAATTTTTTTATAAATTTTAATTTTATCTTTCAAATCAAGTGTATGATTTTTGTTATTTCAACAACAACAATAATAATATTAATGCTATTAATAATAATAGTAATAGTGATTATAATTGTGATAATAATAATAATAATAATAATAATAATAATAATAATAATTGTGGTTATAACAATAATAAAAATAGTGATAAGAATAAAAATAACAATAATATTAGTTGTGGCGCGATGGTAATAATTATAACAATAGCATTAACAACAACAACAACAACAACAATAATTATAATAATAATAATGGTAGTAATCATGATAATAATATTAATGATGATAATACTTATTAATGATAATGATGATCATAGTAATGACAGTTATAGCAAAAATGATAATAATGTTTATTAATGATAATGATGACAGTTATAGCAAAAATGATAATAATGAGAACAATAATGGTGAAAATTCATCATTCGATATTAGATTTGTTAGAAATTAAATTTTACTATTTTTTCATGTGTGATATTTTTTATCTAATATCTCAAGATATTGATTTAAAAAGTTTATATGACTTTACACCGTCTTTTATTTATTTTATTTTTTTTTAAATTTGTTATTTAATATTAAGTTTTTAAAAAATAAAAAATAATTATCTATGTTTTTTATTTATTTATTGAAAACTCATATTATATAAAGATTCAAAATAAAAAATTTAACAATTTTTTTTTATCCAAGTTGCAAAAAATAAAATAAAAATGGTTTGGCCCGCCGTAGAACGCGGGAAATGAACCAGTAAATACGAATTTAAATCAACTAACAGAAGCCCTGAGAATGGATGATCCATCCCAGCCGGGAAAAAAGAAGAAGAAGAAGAAATTTAGCCACGACTACTGAACTGTAGGACAAAAACAGCACAAAGGGTGAAAAATCACTTGGATCTTCTTCTATTGTAAATCCTAAATCACGAATAATTGCGGCTAAGCATTGTATCCAACCAAGTGGCCTTGAAGAGTCATTCACTATAAAGCCAGGTACACTTGGAAGAAAATAGCTCCCCATGGAAACCTGAGCAATGTCCAAACATGCAAACGAAACGAAGGGGAAAAGAAGCTCTAATAGAGCAGCCTCTTTTGATTCGACGGGGACTGGCATGTACAGCGGGATCTCTAAACTAGAAGACGACAGGGTCATCTCTAACCAAGCAAAGGTAAAAGGCAAAAAAGTCTAGCAGCTAGCTCTCTATATAACCATATCTAGCGAGGAAAGCTTATGCACAAAGCAACTAATGTCTCATATTTAAGCCTTGAGGGCTTGAACTACATCTACTATTTCCCGATAAAATGCGATTGCCTCAATCTCCTTTAGTTGGAGGTTGCACACATGAACAGAAGTGCCCTTTCTTTCTCTTCTGGCTAGTTCTTGTGCTGCCATACAGATAGTCTTGCAGTAGAACTTTTGATTTTCGCTCTGTGATTTTTGTTTTCCCTCTGCTTTTGTTTTCATCATCAAGTTTCAGCAAAACGAACTGCAATTTCTGCACCTCCAGCTGCAAACGCCCGATTTTCTCTGACACTCTTCTTGCCTGCTCTGTAATCTTTCTTCTCCTGACGCTGCCACTCTCATCTGGTGCTAATTCGGGTTTCTCGTCAGAGTACAGTGGCTCATCTTCAACAGTCTTCATTAGTTTGCGATTCACTTCAAACAACTTCATGATGGCCTCCTCGGATTCTTCCAGCTGCTCCTTCACATTATCATATTCAATACCCTTTCCCTTTTTGCTCTTCTCTGTAATCTCCACCTTACTCTTCAAATCTTGAACTGTTATTTGAAGATTTGTCAACTTTTGAGCATCAGAATCAAGTCTTTCTAGAATTTTCCTCTTATTTCCTTCTTGACAAGACCCCGATAATGTCTTTGAGATCTCTAATTTGTCCACACCCACCTCCTTCTCAACCACTGATTCTGCAGAAGGATGCTGCCTAATGTGTTTTTTCTTCTTCTGTGAAGCAGTCACCTTCTGCGTTTTTCCAACAGTCAGGTCAATGCTGTCATCCCGATCAGCAGTTTCCCATATTTCAAGCATCTGTTCATCAGCCCGCATAGTTTCTCCCTTGCTGATTCCATGGGATGAACATTCCGATATCTGATCAAGTATTATGTCTTTTGTCATCACTTCATTCCCATCCCCTGAGATTTCATGTGTTCGTTTCTGCCGCCTCAGATCATCACTGGGTGTGGCCACCAGTTCCCCATCCTCTGGTTTTGGCTTAACATACCTCCTTGTCTCAACACCTTTTTGACGTGCACTGCTTCCAGATTTCAACTCCTCAATCTGCCTTATTGCAGCATCGAGTTTGGAATGATAACTCAAGTTTTCTAGCATAAAAAGTCTCTCCTTCTCAATGATTTCTTTCTCAATAGCTCTAATCCTCATTTGCAAATCCTGGAAGTCCAAGGTTCCACCTGGCACCATGCCACTCTGTCCTTCACTCATTTGGCGAAAGCCTTTGGCATGCATCACCACTGCAGCATCCTGCAGCAAGCGGAATATAAGAATATTAAAACCATTAACTTTAAAGGATATAACAAAAGCATTGCCCATATTCCAACTGAGTTGTTTTGTGAACATAATGCAAAAGGTTACAAACTATGGGGTCAAACTGCAAAGTGCAAGGAATATTAATAGGAGTAGTGCACGGGCATATCAAAATTGGGTGAATGAAGCTTGAGAGCTTATAAGGTTACAACAGACAAGATCTCAAGGAATAATTGATGTGATTGATTTTGCAAAACCCCGCACAGGATGATTATACAGTTAACTGATTGGATTATGGTCATGTCACTTATAGAACCAGACCAAGTAATATTGCCATAATGGAACGATTCAAAATCAGATGAATAGAAATTACCTTTGATTCCTTGCTGTCACCTTCATGAAATGTCGCATCTGGAAGAGTGTGCTTCTCCAATGATGTTACACAATCCCTCAACGACATGAAAGCTGGCAAATATGCAGCCACAAGAGCTTTTAGTTCTGCATTTCCACCTTCCAAAGTGCTAACTCTTTCTTTCAGCTGGTCAATCTCCATGTCTTTTGAGCAATTTCCATCTTCAAGGCTCTCACATATTTTAAGGAGCTCGCGAAGCTTTCCTTCAAACAAGGCTTCTCGGACAGCAGATATCTGCAGCTCAGCAAACAATGCAACAGCCTGAGACTCTTGTAGTTCAACCTTATTTCTTTCCTTTACCAGTTCATGACTCAAATTTTCCTTCCTGTCTTTAACTTCTTGAAATTCTTCATGCAATTTCCTAATTTCAAACTCCAGTTTCTGATTTACTTCACGAATGTTTTCAGCCTCCTTATTTTTCTGATCATAATCTCCTGATAGTTTGATGATCTGCATTTCTTGATCTGATCGTATCACCTCAACCTCATCATACTTGCACTTCAGATCCTCCACCATTTTATGCAACTCTCTCTTCTCATCTTCTAAGCCACTGAACTTATCTAACTCTTTCTCCAGTTTCGTCACCTTCTCATTGAGACCAATATTGTCATGACACAGTTTATCTAGGCTTTCACCAAGGCTTTTTATTTCCACAGATTTTTCACAGATGATATCCCTGAAAATTAGAGAAAGGGTACTTTGAGATACAGTTTCAACAAGAACGCAGAAGTTTTCCTCTTCAAGTTCACATTTC